TCCTCTTTGGGCTTACCTTAGATGCGGCGGTGGGGGAGGGGAAGTATCATAAAATCTAGGTTTTACAGTCTAATCTTTGGCACTTGAATTTTAGTATCCAAACAGCTGCAGCTGTCTGGGATCGCACTCCAGCCTTTAAGCAGAAAGTGATGAGGATCCCGGCTGGGGACTGTGTGGGCCACCTGTAACCTGCAGACCTTGTGCATTTCAGGAAAGTTCTGCCTCTTTATTGGTCTCTATGTAATGCAGTGTGCAGGGCAGTGCCCACTTGGCTCCTGTCAGGTCAGGAGCTGTCGCCTGTGCTGCTGGGGCAGGCAGTGAGTGTTCACAGTGCAGCAGCGCTGTGGTCTGGAAAAGCTTGTCCTGCTCTTCGCTAAAGGCTTCTCTTGCTCTGTGTGTCGGTATAAAAAGTCTGATTAGTCCAACTGCTTGGAAAAAAGTGATGATAGGCCTCTGTTTAGTTTGTTTTACCTGGAATTTGGTGGTGTGTTTTGTGGTGTAAGTAAAAACACTTGGGGCTGTAGAGCAAGTGAAGGCTTCAGCGTTCTTAGGACAGGGAAGCTTAAGCTGGTTATTTTATGCTGTTTCCAAATGAAGGTGAACAAAACATGCATCAACAGAGGTAATGATTCCCAGCACAGGAATTGCTGCGTTTGTCAATGAAACATTAGGCTGGTTTTCACCTGGTAATCAATTTACAGGGAAGTTACTGATAGAAAGATCAAATCCCAAATTTTGCAGAACTTGGCACATTATTGATGGCATGTTTGTCAAGCTGCTTTACAAACCTGTTCCTAGATAGGAGTGTTCAGTGCAGCAAAACAAAACCTGAAAACTGCTTCCCTATTCAATTCTTTATAAAGCCTCCTGACATGATAGATCTATTTACATTTGTCCTGGCTGTTCAGACTGTTTTCAAAAGTGTTTCTTAGGCCTAAAATGCTTTTGGGAAGGCTCCTATTTGTACTTGTTTTCAAATACTGTGTTCGATTTACTCGGCTAGTGTAGTACACGCTTGTTACCTTGAATTGCTGTTAAGGTGTCTGCTAATTTACCTCCACCTTTTTCTGAAAGAATATTCACTAATAACAACAGGCCTGATTTGCCTCTAATGCTTCTGATGCAGCCTGAGCCTGGCAGGCTGCTCTGGGCTCTGAAGTCAAGGGTTCCCGCTGGCCAGAAATCCCCAGGAAAGATTGCCCTGCGCTTCAGGCTTTGCGAGCACTAAGTTCCTGGAATGCACTATACTGTAACCAACCAACTCCAGAAAGGTAGGCACGAGGGAGGCCAGGGAGCTGCGGCCCAGCTCCAGGAGCAGGTTGGTCCTTGAGACGGCCCCAGCAATTATGGCTGATCCCAGTTGCTTCACTTGTAAGTGCCAAAATCGTTTGGAGCAGGAGTGTCTCGAGGTGGTGCTTGTGTACGGGTTCTGCGCTTGTGTGGTGATCTCTGTGAAGGAGCCGGCTTGGAGCAGCCCTCTAATGGGAAGAGGCTGCATGTCCTTTCCCTTGGGCAGGTAGAGCCCTGGGGTAGCTCTGTAGCTTTGCTTAAGCTTTTCAGAAATTATTGAAGGCAACCAGAACAGCAGTGTTGTAGCTGCCCTCCTTGGAGCCAGTTGTGGCTGCACTTCAGGAATGAACATCTAAACTTTCTGTCTTCGTATTTGTATGTACAAGCTAATACATGATGTTCTGTGTTATTTATATGAAAGTAATCCTAGTATCTATGTATGTGCTGCTGTTCCAAGGAATTCAAAAGGAGAACTGTGGCTTCCATTGCAAGGTGTTCAGATCTCCTGGGGTTTATGCTACAGGCCTGTCTGTTTCCACTATTTGGATGTAGATTCTTGTATTATGCACTTTCATGTCATCTTTTTGTTCAGTAAGGTGTGATGAATATAGAAAAACATTTGTACCATTACTGACTTCTGTGCCATATATTTTTTTTTTCTTAAAATGTTTTAGTTGGGACTTCAGTTTACAGCTTTGTACTGGTAAGGATCCTAAATTACTATGTAGAAGATCTTGTTTCAACTTCTAATCTAATCTTTTATGATCAACAACCCCTCACCTCCCCACCCCAGGAAAAAAAAAACTTCTAAAATATGAAAGTACTCCTTCTAAATATATATATTTTTCTGCTTTACACCTGCTTTTGGATTTAACTGACTCCTTCCTGTTGTGTCTATTTTTGGCACTATTCCTTTCTGTGTCTCATGGCTTCGTTCATCTTCTCTACCCTGTTTTTGTGGCAAGAATTTTTTTGTTCCATTGCTGGTGTAGTTACTGTATCCATTTTCAGGCTAGTGCATGTTACTCAATTTCTTTGGATTTCCTGCCTATCCTTCCCTTGCACAGCTAAGTGCACTGCCAGCCTCTGTGGAAACATGCTCAGTACTGGCTTCACGGTTCAAGTACATGACTGTAGGTGGCCGACAAGTCCTAAGCTTCTCGGTTTTAAAAGCTCTTTTGAGATTTACAGCTCTAACTTTTCTAACATTTTTTGTTTGTGTTTTCCTTTGTTGCAGAAAAGATACAGTTTGGCTGTTGGTCCTCCGAAAAAGGTTCCAAAAGTCAAGGGTGTGGAGTCTGCAGCAGTGCAAGCATTTCTCAGACGGAAAGAAGAAGAAAAAAGGAAAAAAGGTAAGTACTGAAGTTACTTTTCCCTGCCTTTCTCTGCCTCCCCTTAAACATCCAATAGTAAGTTCTGCATGATCATAATTCTCTCACTCAATCCTAAAACTTCTCCCTTCTTGAGATATCCCGTGTAAAGTCCTGTACTTGACGCAGTAGTTTCCCTTAGTTTGCATTATTATGCAGAGTGTCCCTTCTGTTGAATCACCTTAGTGAGTCGTGCAGTGGATTTAATTCTTATCTTTGGATTTAGCTGATACAGGTGGGTTAGGTTGTTTGGGTCCCCTGTCCTCTTACTAGATCTCTGATGACTCTCTGGTCATTGTATCTGTTTAAAAGGTCTGTTAGTTAGATATCTAAAAACTTATATCTTAAATGCTCTAGCAATTGGAAGTAACTGAAGTATAGAATGCTTTTGCCTAACTTTCTCCCAATTTTCTTGTACAGCGCTGGAAGAAAAAAAAAAGAAGGAAGAACTCCTGGCCAGGCGTATTGAACTGAAACATGACAGAAAGGCAAGAGCTATGGCCTCGCGAACCAAGGATAACTTTTATGGCTATAATGTCATTCCTGTTGAAGAGAAGCCTCGGAAGAGGAGGACTTCTGAGAATGTTGCTCAGGTTGCAGAGGCTGAGTGCCCAACAGAGGATGAAACTGAGCAGCCTGAGTATAGTCAGACTGAATCAGAGCATGAGCAAGAGGAGTATGAAGAGAAACCAGCCAAAGCTGCAGTGAAACCAAAGGCACCTCCCAAAAGTTCACCAGCACCTCTGAACTTCACGGATCTTCTAAGGCTTGCTGAAAAAAAACAGTATGAACCAGTAGAAATAAAAGTAGTGAAAAAGATAGAAGAGAGACCCAGGACAGCAGAGGAATTGAGAGAGAGGGAATACTTGGAGCGCAAAAACAAAAGACCAGAAATGCAGAAAGACAAAAAGAAAAGTGAGAAAGAGATTAAGAACCCAGGTGTATCCAGTTCTTCAAAAAAAATGACTTCTCAGAAAGAATCTCTAAATGCAAAACTTGGCAAAAGCTTTTTGGATAAACATTCCTCTCCAAAAGGCAGTCTGTCCTCTATGAGCAGTGTTGATAAGAAATCCAAAGCACCAGCATTGACTGAAAAACACTCACGGTTGTCATCCTCTTCTAAATCCAGTCAAATGGAAAAAGTTAAGACCTCACAAAACGGCTCCTTAAAAAGCTCTACTGGTAGCGCTCAGAGCAAGTCCTCTGTCAATGGTGTAGGAAAATCTGGCTCGGGCACCCACATGCCACCCTCGAAAGCAGCAGCCAACGGGGTTCAGCGGCCACCAACCACCAAAGAACCCAAACTGAAGAAACCCGCGCAGGCCAAACCGGGCGCTGCCGCCCTCCGGCACGACGCGAGCGCCGGTGCCAAGCGTGCGGGCAGCAGCCTGGGGAAGGGAGGGCCCGGGCACCCGGGCGGCGGCTCAGCCTCGGCACCGGTCTGGGCAGCAGCTCAAGCGTGGGACTTGGGCGAGCAGACAGCAGCCTGGGCAGCGGCCCAGGCAGGCCTGGCGTGGGCACAGCTGCAGGACTCGGCAAGGCTGGTAGCCGGCCGGGAAGGCCCGGCACTGGCACGAACATGGGGCCCGGGCGACCCGGCAGCGGCCTGGGTGCAGGGCCAGGCAGGCCAGGCGTCAGCCCAAGCGCAGGGCCAGGGCGACCAGGCGGCGCCTTGGGCACACCTCTCAAACCCAAGTGTACTGTTGTATCAGAAACTATTTCTTCTAAAAATCTAGTCCCACGGCCTAGCAATGGGCACATGAATGGAATGAGACCTTTTCAAGGGCACAGACCAGGCTTTCAATCACAAGGTATGGAGTTGTACAGCAAGATAAGTCTTGCAACCTCCCTGATACTTCTTATGTATTTTTGATATGTCTGGGTTGAGGCCAGCGAGGCCTTCTTAGCAATTGTGGATGCAATTAGAAAGATGTAGATAAAATACCATATTTGCCTTTTAAGGGGTTTTGGAAAGAAATAAAAGGCACTATTTTGGCTACTGCAAATATCTGGAAAAAGCCAGGATTGAAAAATAACGTAGATTTCTATCTATCATACTGGTATGATAGATAGCTTAGAAGTTTAAGCCATAACGAAGCTTAGAGGAAATATTTTCTTTGTGTGTCTTAGAACTGCTAATTGAATTAAGGCAGAACTTTTCCACCTTGAAGCCCAGAGATATATATGAGCCTATGGCACAGCCAGAAGTACTGTAAAAACTCTTGTTTATGAAAAAACTGATGTAGAAAATGACTGTTAGACAAATTAATGTTGTTGTTTATTCCTCATGTAGGTCTTGGAAGACCTTCTCTCCCCCCCATTAGTTACAAAAGACAGATAGAAGATGATGATGATGATGATGAATATGACTCTGAAATGGATGATTTCATTGAAGATGAAGGAGAACCCCAAGAAGAAATATCAAAGCATATTCGGGAGATATTTGGATATGACCGGAAAAGGTAAGGTAGCCCAAATTCATGTTGAGATACCACAAAGCTCTTGCAGAAGTTATAGTCCAAAGAATAAAACAGAATATTTGAATTGAATGAGTAAAGTCTTGGCATCCATAAATGTTCTTGCAATGCAAAAACTGAATGTTAGAGCCACTGAATTTCTTCAGAATATGTGAAATACAGTTGCTTGCATGCAAACTGCTGAATGCAGTTGTGTTAACTCTTTCAAAGGAGGATCTGACTTGGCATATTTGGGTAGGAACTGTTTTAAAACAAAAGTCCCTTATTTGGCTTGTTCAAATACTTTCCTCCTACCTGACAATAGTCATTTTTGTGACTAGGAACTTATATTCTTTCAAAACATTAAAATCTAACAGTAAATGGCAAAACTTTCCTTTTTTTTTTTTTTAAAAAAAGGAATGCTAATTCAAAACAGCCGTATATGTTGTCTTCGTAGTATGCTAAACATGAATATTTAACTTCCAGATACAAAGATGAAAGCGATTATGCCTTACGTTATATGGAGAGCAGCTGGAGAGAGCAACAGAAGGAAGAAGCCAGGAGGTAATGCACAGGCTGAAATTTAAGTAGAAACAAGATGGGGCGGGGGGACAGCAAGTAGACTGCTTGAAGTCAGGGAATATTTTGGAGTGGATGCTGGCTGATGAAATATATCCCTGGACACAGGTACTACTATAACTGCAGTTACTACTGTAGCTACTTAGAGCAGAGGTCTTGCTGTTTTAGACAGAAAAAGTTAGGTGCAAAGATTAGTAAACAAACCAGCCTGCCAGTGAATGAGGATAGTGTTTAAAAAAAAAAAAAAGTGTTCATACTGATTGTATACATCTTGCTTATAAAAATATACCAAAGTAAACCCTGAAATATTTCTATAAATAGTAAAAATTGATTAAAATGCTAAACCCTTAAATTTGTTCCAAAAACGGCAATATTCCACTACTTGGAATATTGCAATCTTGGAAAGACTTCTTAAAATTATATATTAAATTACTTGATACAAATATTTTATAAATAGTGTTTTCAAAAAGGCTGGATTTTCATACTGGATTGCATCATAGTTTCAGCCGTAGACTGTGTAAATCCTCACTGGCTATTTCAGAAACCTGGTCTTAACCTTAAAGTTTTTTTTAGTGATGGAAGGTACGTGTACAATACAGTTGTCACAGCTTTGCCAAGTTACACTTTTTTTCTAAGGTAGTGGGAAAGATTGGTAATGCACTGTTACCATTTTTTTGGGTTGTAGTGATTTTTTTCTCCGTTCAGTTGAGGCCAGAGTATTGGAATATTGGAAGGTTGATCTTTAAGCTTAGTCTATGTCCTTATTCCTGCTCTAGGAAGCCACAGAAACTAGGCAGCTAGGTGCTGTGTGTTCTCAGAGCAATTCTCCACATATTCCACCCTTGCTGAAATAAGAGGTTTAGGCTTTTCTTGGAAGGAAGCCGACTGAGGCAGTTCTGTTATGATTGCATGTGAGGGTTAGCTTGGGGAGGATTGATTGGCACTTCAGTAGTTTATTTTCAAAAAAACAATTAACCTCTAAAAGTCATTTTTTATAGAGTTGCTGTTTTTTATTGGTGAGAAAAATCAATTTTTCCCGAGATTTGACTGCTTCAGTGATGAGAATCTTGATTTCTTTGAACACCTGTGCTTTTTCTTAAAGCTGTATTCTAAAAGAATACCTGTGATTATTATTACACAGATCATAGAATCATAGAATGCTTAAGGTTGGAAGGGACCTCTAGAGGTAATCTAGTCCAGCCCCCCTGCACACACAGGGTCACCTAGAGCACGTGGCACAGGACTGCGTCCAAGCGGGTTTTGAAGATCTCCAGAGAAGAGAGAGACCCATCATCTATCGGAAAATCATCAGGAGACCACCCAGGGCATCTGAAGCTGGACACATCTGTGTGTGCATTCAGTGGATGCCGCAGTCTGAAATATTAATTGAATCTAGCATTTTTTTCCTTAAGTCAACTGTGATAATTTTAGGGTTGCTTTTCTTAAGGGAAAATGTAGAAGTCAAATATTAGGTCTTCCAAGTAACATTTTGTAAAGGATCTCCCTTTATTTGGCAGCTTGAGACTTGGTGTTCAGGAGGACTTAGAAGAATTGAAACGGGAAGAAGAGGAATTGAAACGCAAGAGACAGTCGAAGAAGCTGAGGACACGTTAACTGACTTAAAATGGTGTTGATTACGTTCATTTTTCTGCCACCCTCTGCCTCCATACATCTACATACATACTCTATTTCAGTTTCCATTTGCTTGCTAGAGGGCAAAAGAAATGTGTAAAGGGATGAAAATAATGAAAAGCAAGGCTTTAGTTTAACCTAAATAAGATATTTATTTTTAATACTTGCCAGGGTTGAATTTTTTATGAAGAAATTAGTGCACTAAAGCATATTAAGGGGAAGAAAAATCAGTAAAGACTTCCACTGATGAAATCGCTTGTTCAAGATGCCAGCAGAAATACTGACTAGCTATGCACTGACTTGCAACTGTGTGGGCCCACAGACCAGTAAACCAGTTCTGCATTCACCTCAAAGAGGAGCATTTTGGTTCCCTCATTTTTGAGGTCTAAAGAAATTGCTTTATATTCTGCTCTCAATCTCCTGAGTTGAGATCCCTCAAAGTATTGAAATAACTTCCGTGCAGAAATGGCTTGAGTGGGTGTAAATTTCAGCTATTGCCACAGATGTTCTAAGCAATAAAGGGCTGACATTTTCTGATTTGAGGACTGTGTGACTTAACCTATTAACAAAAACCCTAGAGCCTCTTATTTCTAACAGTGCATGTCACTCACAAATTGTGCAGTTACAGAAATGACCAAAAATTATGTTGGCTTTTGCTGTGCCTGGAATTTCAATGCCGATCTACTTCAGTATGATAAATGCACATCCTGAAAGATAGGAATTTCCAGTGTTTGTATGTAGCTTGTGGGCTCAAGCTTATGCCTAGCAATTCTTTTCCTGCCCTGTAAATCTTTACAGTTGTCCCACAGTTTTTGCTGCTTTTATAAATTAGGCATACAGTGAACATTTTGTCTTGCATTAAAAATCAAGTATTTTTTAATTATTTGAAATGTGAAGCAGTCACTGAATTAGGTTTACTGTTTGGAAAGAATATCAGAATGAAATTGTGTTACTAGAGTGGCAACTCATTGATATGAATGACTTCATACTACTAACATGTAGCAAATGATTCTGAATGATTTCATGCAACAAGGTAAAATGTTACACCAGGGGAGTTCAGTTACCTATTTTAATGCCCATATTTGCACATTATTTCCATCTATGCATTTAGAGGCTCTTTGTTTCAGTAACTAAGTTTGCTTGCAATTGGCATAGGGGTTCATGCAAGTCTGCAAGGATTGCACAGAGCCCAAATGGCAAATCTGGTGTTCCATTTGTTCCAATTTCCTTTTTTCCCCCCCCCCATTTTCTAATGCTTCTGACTTTTCCTGTCAGAAGACAACTCAACAGTGCTGCCTTCAGAAATAGCACTTCAGGCAGCAAGCTGTAAGGGACAACTCTGGAACATGCTTAAGTTTAAATTACTGACTCTTAATGTAAGGAAAAAGCAAATTTGCATTTTTGAGCCACTTTGTTAATGGTGCAGCACTTCCCTGCTGCAGCATAACCCTGACGTGAACTATTTGATGGGTACTATGAACTAACTCAGTATTAGGTGGCAGGCAAGGCTAGGTTACCAGAGGAAGGTAGCTCCTTCATAGCTCCTAGGAATTTTCAACTTTTTTTTTTTTAACTAATAAAACAATATTTCTCAGTGTATTTTAAGACCATGCAAAATAGTGTAATCTCACTGCTTATCTATAAATGTGTCATACACTTTCTGCTTAATGGGACCATTTAAAATTGTTTTCTGCTGTAGTTGTTAGAATTATCCATTCAAGACAAGAACTGCTGGGACCATGATCAAGTTACTGGGTTTTTTGTTCTATCGCAGCTGGAGGAAGGCTCTAGGCCTCTGTTGACCCAGATACTTCTCTTGGTTGCAAGCAATTTCCTGCATGGTTGAAAATACAGGCTCTTCTGAAATGCAGGAACTGTATTGACTCAAAATGGGTTCAGTCTGGAATTAAGTCTGCGTTTCAGATGAATGCAAGTTAAATAAAACCCTGATTTTTACTTACCTACGCAGTAGTGATATATTTTAATTCACCACTTGATACAAGATCAGTTAAATTCTTGATCTATAAAGCACTTTGTCATTTGTCTTGTAGATGGTGACTGGAATGCACTCTGCTCTGCCAGCCTCCCTAAAATACTCTATACCTGTGGTTTGCTTCACACAATAATCATTGTCTAATATTTTTACATAAATTTCTTGAATGCATTTGTAATTTTACAATCAACTCTTTCCTCATAATTGGCATGGAATTATAATTGTTCTCAAATGTTGTGAAATTTATACAAATGACTGGGTTTTAATGCCTGCATTTGCCGCATTTATTTCTGTAAATCGGCTAGAAAGTTATGAAGAATCTATTTTGCGTTTTTGTTTTTTCTCAACTCCTGACCTTGTATTGGAAAACATTTACTGTTTACCAGGTAACTCTATTAATACAATGACTAAAACGGGAAGAATGCGTATATTGGTTTATGAGAATCTGATGTTAAGCTAGTGATTTAATTGTATTTAATGAAATTCTGGTTTGGTTTTTAGACTTTTAACTCACTGACAATGTGCCTTTAACTAAATTGTGTCAAAAAATAATTGCTGAATGTAGGAACATAGAGAGGTTGGTCAGTTCCTGCTATCTCAGATTCTATATCCTTAAACTTGATAGCGTGAAATGATGACCTAGTTTTCCTGAAACCCTCGCAGGTCTGGCTTTGCACAATTACAGGAGCTACTTCTTAACCATGATAATGCTAAATCAAATGAAGGGCACTTTCTATTAATGACTACTTTTTTGAAAATGTCTTGTATTTACACTTGAGCTGTACTTACACTTTACAGCAAAGTCTTTTTGGAGGCCAGGGTTTTGCATATCACAGGAAGCCTTAGTGTGCAACTCTGTGCTGTGCTTTAAAATAAAAATCTTTCAAGAAGTATATGAGATCTCTATGGAAATCTGGATTTATTTTTGTGTAAAGCCCAAAATATTGTCCAGGCAAACTAATTTTCTATTTTTTTTGCATTTTGTAACTTAATCTAGTAGCTGATGCATATTTCTAGATATAGCATATTTCTGGAGACCAAAACATGTCAGAAAATAAATATATGGAGAGAGACTGGTGTTTAAATTGTGATGAATGTACTTCTATTTATTTTGGTGAGTGGGTGTGATGCAATATTGAAGTGTTAGTGTGTAAATAAGGGTGCTTCTAGTTTTAGCCAATTATTTTTTTTCTTTTATTTTGGGGATATCAGTTGTGCACAGTGTCTTTTTACACAATGTGACAAATCAGGTTGAAAACTCTTACTTAGCTTAACTGTTTTCTGGTGTTGTCAAGAAAGTGTACACTCTTGCTCAAACACCAAATGCATATGAAAGTTTTGCAGAGTATGTATACAATAAATTACAGGCATTAAACACTTTCCTGCTATTTTGCATTGGTTTACTTTATGCAAGGATTTTTCAGAGTTATTTTCTGCTGGCTTCTGTTCCAAGCTGTCCCATGAAAGCTTGACTTATCTTCAGGAAGAATTATCAGCACTTTCTCATGCGGTCACCAAGAATTACAAAAATGTAATGGAGTGACTTGAATGCTCACAAAAGATGTAAAAATCGGTAGAGTACCTGGTAGCTTAGACCTATGACATAAATCTGTTTAGATGAATGTGCCTTTTCTCAACAATTTAAAAGCATTTAAGAATGTGAAACTTGCATGAGCCTTTGGGGTCCAAAAAAAAAAAAACCATTTAGCATACTGTGTGAGTACAATTAATGATGGAAGAGGTTCCTGAAGTAGTAAAGCAGCCTATTGTGCATCGCCTATGACGCTAGCTGGTATTAGTGTCATTCACGCACAGGTAAGTTCCTGGTTGGCCATAGCAAAGGTCATAGTGAGATAAATTATGCTCTTACTCATGACATTCCCAGAGCCCAAGGGTTTAGTAAGGAAAGTGCTTCTCTTGCCATTTGTATTGTGCTTGGTCTTCATTTATTCCCAAAGCCTCAGGATCTGGGAGGATCAATCAAGCATACTTAAGAAGTGCAAATTTTGATTAAACCCTTTAATATTTGTCAGTTCAACTTGCAATTTCCATCCCATTGCTATTAAGTTAATTTGGACAGAACACATCAGTGAGTGATTTTTGTCAATGGGAGAAAATGTTTTGAAATGCCTTTGGAATTGTGGGTTTTGCTTTGCTGAGAGAACCTTTTCCCTTGGCTTTGGTCTAAACTAGTGTAGCTAGAGAGACAGGATACCTCAAGGTAATGAGAAGAATGAGACTAATACTTGGGCTATGCAAGTTCGAGTCACAGTGATGATGCTCCTGTTTTCTCCTTTCCTCCTCTGTGGAGCTGAATGAAATTCACAATGAACACTGTGCCCTAGCACTAGCCGTGCGTTATAGGGAATGTTTTATTTTGCTTTCTTGCTTTGCATCGGAGTAGTTTTAGCTCATTTTCTATGTAATTAGGCATCACATCTCACAGTGAATATCTCAATAAGGCAAGCTTAACTTCTAGCAAAATACTGTTTGTGTTTGCTTGCTTGTTTTTAATATGGCCAACTCTTAGGGAGAAAGGAATTCTAATAAATAAATGGGGAGTTGGAAGAGTTTGAAGTATTGGGTATCTGCTCAACAAACAGCAGCTTGGAGTTTCCTATTGCCAGCTTGGCAGGGATGTGTGCAAAGTGCCCTAGGTGCATTCAGAAAAGCACAGTATTTCCAGTTCCGCTGGCTTTACCGGGTTATTTGTGTTGAACCTCACTTCAAAGCTGCTCCTGAAGCTGCAAAGTCAGTGTTTAATGTAGGATGTGATTTGGAAAACTTTTTTTTTTAACCACATACAAACTCTGACTTGATATGAAATCAGAAAGATGCTGGTCAGAACTACAACTAATAGTCACTCATGCTGAGTGTTAAAAAATAAAATAAAAATTACCCTTTCTGTAGCAGATAAAAATTGAATGTCTCCAGTAAGGATAGAACCCAGAAGCCTCCAAGCTCTTTGGGTTGCTCTTTTGGTTTTAAGTTATTTGAACCCTTAAATTGTGCTATGTGACTCAGGGAAGGCAAACACGGGAGCAGCATGTGGAACCGCGCGGGACTCACGTGCATGCTACTAGACAGAAAGACGCTGTTTTCCATCCTGAAACCACGCACACACGGTGTCCAGCAAAACATGTTTCACTTGAGCTGTCTTGGCCAGAGCACCTTCCTCGCTGGCGGCGCTGTCAGTAGCTCGGCATCTGGCTGCGCTCAGCTGCTGTGCTACACCGAGTGCTTCCTGTTCGTGTCCGGTTTCTTTGGCTCTTCGGGGTGAGTCTGTAAACACACACAGTAAATAATCTGCAGTGACTGTCTTAAAAACAGCAGTCATACAGCTAGCTGGGCTAGGGAAGTTGAGGCAATTTGGAATTAGTTTAACAATCTGAAGTACTGAAGGGAAATTCTGCAATAAATGGTAGAGATCATTTCTTGATTTGAGGCAAAAAGCTCAGACTTCTATCTGAAGGATCTGTAGTTTTGGTGTAGGCTAAATGAAGTATTTCCTAAAACCCTTCATAGAAATGTGTCTTTTTATTCTTGAGCGTATATAAGCACCAACAGTGTATGGTTACTATTTTGATTTCTATGATTATATTCGCTAAGTATACACATCGTTTTTAAAAAGTGTGTCTAGCCTGGCTAGGCTACTAGTAACTGTACATATCCATCAGAATTTCCTAGTGTTTTTTACTGTGTAGTAAGGAGAGATTAAAAATTAAAATGCCTGAGACTAAAAATTTAAAAATAATAAATTTTTCTCAAACGTTAGTCAGTGCTACGACTTTGGCGAAGTAAAATGATTTTCAAACTGCCTTTTAAAGGGGTTTAGGCAAAAGTCTTTAAGCTCGTTTGTCTCTCGGCATCGCGCTGTTCCTAGGGGACTCACGTCCAGGTACTTCTCCTTCAGCATTAAGCCCAGGATGAAGATCATCCACAGGACGACGACCATCGTGGGACCCGCGCCCCACGGGCGCCCTGCGCCGCCGGGCAGGCGCTGCTCCCCGAGAACCCGGCCGTCCCGCGCGGCCCCGTGTCCGCGCCCAGGCTGTGACGTCACACCTGACATCACAGGTGAGGAGCCCGGAGCAGAATGATGTCAGCCAACAGTCAAAAAGAGGGGAAAAAAGAACAGACACAAAAATTGTTATAAGCTTTATTTGTTCTACCGAGCACTTCTGTTCGTGGTTACTGTCTCAGCTGTTGTGTCAGCCTGGGAGAGGAAGAAGCAGGATGAGGTTTTCTTGAGGAGATCCTGCTCCTGCTGTGAAATCTGCTCTGCTCTGTTCCTGCTGTTTCCTCATGGGCTGAGGCAGCAGCACAGCACTTGTCTGCCTTCCCCTAGCTGGACATATGGCATCTCCAGCGGCTCCGAGCCAGGTGTACATCAGTTGCGCACAGTGTGCTTCTGAAGGGGCATTTTCTGGTATCTGTCCTACCTGATAGATGAGCAAAAATAAAGCAAGAGTAATAAAGGAAAAGCAGTTCATGCTGGATTTTCATTGGGCATGTGTGTAACTCCAGGTAAAACTGCACATCTGTTGGGATTGTTGTGAGCACAGAGAAAAGACACGTCCAAATCCGTTTAGTATCTATACATGGTCTACTACCCACACAGCAAAGATAAAGCAAGAGTAATAAAGGAAAAGCAGTTCATGCTGGATTTTCGTTGGGCATGTGTGTAACTCCAGGTAAAACTGCACATCCGTTGGGATTGTGGGCACAGAAGAAAGACACGTCCAAATCCCTTTAGTATCTGTACACGGTCTACTACCCACACAACCAGATTTCACTGCCAGTCCATGTTAACTCAGTGATGAAGGAACAAAATGGAGAGAAGTGGCTGGGAGGCATTTTGTGACTTGTCTGGGAGCTGTGTGCAGGAGAGGGGTTTGTTGCTCTGCCCCCAGGGGCTCCCCATCCTTGCTGAGGTCTCACTGCTGGGCAGAGCACATGTACTCGAGCACACGCATTTGCTAGTCCTGGTGGCTTCTGCTCTTATCACTGCCAAGGAGCAGCAAGGGGCTTGCTAGGGATTTCTGCATCCTCTAGACCCGCGCTGCTGTCCAGGTGTCAGCACGTTGTACCACGTTTTATACCCGCCAGCTTTCCCTGATGGGATTTACTGTCTTTGAACTAAGATTTAATGAAGCTTTTGCTTCCGCACTAGGAGCACACAAGCGGCAGTATGGCACTACATTATTATTATTATCACTGCTTATTTTTATTACTGTTATTATAATTTACTGTCCCGCGCAGGGGCGCCTGGGAGGCGGAGGCGTCCCCGGCGCCACCAAGATGGCGCTGAGCGAGGAGGCGCTGAGGCAGCAGCTGGGCAAGGTGCGCGCGCCGCCCGCGCGGGGCTGCTAACGGTCGCCGGGGGCGGTTGAACGGCGGCCGAGGGAGGGAGAAATTTTTATGTGTATCCTATATATAAACTGATTTTTAAAGCGCACCAGGTTTAGTGCGCTGGTGTAGGGCGCGGGAGCATGTCTGTTGTGCTGTGCGCTGCTCTGAGTGCAGAGTTCCTGACTTTCTGAGGTGGGGGGGTTAATGCCTGTGTTAATAAGTCCTGCTTGGCAGAGAGGGGTGTGTTTTTATAGCATTCCTAAAAAGATTAAAAAAAAAAAATTTCCACAAGTGGCCTGGGGGTGTGCATGACAAAATGTCAGGCATGCCAGCTGATTCCTGATGGGAATAGGGAAGGACTCTCTCCATAAAGCTCCATGGGCTGCCCAGAATGCCTCACCTAGTTTGCTTTCAGAGCATAAAAGGAGGGAGATGGGGAGAATAAAGGTTTAGATTTCACAAAGCCGCTGTGGTTTTGCTGCTGTTTCTGGTTGATAGCTCTGCTGAAGAGGCTGAGTTCTAAACTGCTACTTTGGGACAGGTATTCTTTAAATATGAAATATTCCTTAAGGAACAGGTGTGCCCTAAGCCAGTGCAGGACTGCAGCTGTGTTTGCCCTGGCCAGGGCTCTTGAGCAGCTTTGTAAAATGTGAAGCATTTCCTTAATCTGGGAAATGCAAGCTGTTTTTCACAACTGTCTGGTCTGGGTGGCTCCTCTGCTTGTGGAGGCTCAGGTCCAGATGTCTGAGGGGGACCTAGATGAAGCAATCTATTTCTGCTGACAATAACATTCAGACCACTTCTTTCTTTTTAGGCTACAGGCAGTTCTTTGAGGGGTGGAAGGGGTTGTGTTATTCTGTACGAAATTTCTCAGCCATCAAGGGCACCTTGAGCATGGGAAAATTTCCCCAAGGTTTGTTTCTGACATGTTTAATAAGCTTGCAAATATGGACCTCTTATAAAGGTCTTTTAAAATGTGTAGAAATGGGTCTAGTTTTTTGGCAGTAACCATGTCAGTATTGTGACTTCTCTTTTCCAACGGGTTTATATTCAAATATTTTTTACACGTATTGTGCACAACTAATTTTAATTTTCCTAAGACTGTTCATAGTGACTTAAGGTGGGGTTTAAGGAACAGTGTCAGAGTTCAGGTTCTCCTGTAGCAAGAGCACACCTGTGGTCCTTCAGAGCTGATTTGGTAAGGCAAATTATATGTTAGATTGCATATAATGAAGAAAGTGGTGTAGTGTGCAAAGATCTCTGAGAATTAATTTCATGCCAAAACCGTTTATGATACCACAAGTAATTGCTAGCTGCCCTTTCTTGTATTTCTACCATTTAATTTCCCCTTGTTATATCCCGTAATGAAAGAAAACGTTTTTCTTAACTGGAACATTTTTATAATTCTTCCTTCCCTTCCCAGTATAAGTTCAGAGACCTGACCATAGAAGAACTAAAAAATGTTAACAAGACCTACCCGAACTTTGTATTCTCCATGAACACATACAGTAAGTGACTTGGTTACTTTACTTCTTGGTACTTCTACTTGCCATAAATTCAGTTTGTATATTATAGAGGCTAAGTAATGTAGTTACCTTTCAGTTGTGTTCCCATCTGTATTTTGACTTTCAGTGAAATTCTCCATTCCTCAAAGGAGTGTTTTTTTGTTTGTTTGTTTGTTTTTTTTAAGGCATAGTTACATTCTGGGCTTGGGTGTTTAAGGCACAGTGTATTTGATACCTAATGTGCAGTGTGCATTGGTTGATGTGGGTGGAGTTGTTGTGTAAAATTCAAAATGATGTTTATAATATCCCATTTTTAATTTCAGCCTTCAAAGATGGGTCCCAGAAAGACCTCCTGAATTTTAGTGGCACCATTCCCGTGAAGTATGGTAGGATTAATTGAATATAATTTCCACACTTGTTACGTATCCAAAATGCTTCAGATGCGGCCCCTTAACAACATGCCACACTGCTGGGTCACAGAGACTCTTATAAAAACATGTGGCTGAAGCAGGAGAGGCAAATTCTCTGCTCTCATAGCCTGGTGGGAGAGCGGGGTGGGGAAAACCTGCGAGTGCTGCTTCTCGCTTCCAGCAGCCAAAGGGAGTGAGCTTGCTCCTAGATATAAAGGAAGCAGAACGGCGAATTCAAACAGACAAAAACGATGCCTTTAAATGGCTTGGTCGTAGTAGTATACATGTAGGAGATGAGGCAACTCTTCTCTTTTTCAGTTGGGGTAGGATGACCAGGGCTAATCTTCCCCATTTTTGTCAAATACTGAAGCATATGTATGAATGCGAGTCTGCATGTGGTTCCTCTGGGGGCTTTTGGGACGTTCCCTGTACTTATCTCTGAGCTCAGGCTTCGTCAGAGGTGGCCGGAGGGATTTGGCATGAACTGATCGAAGCCCCTTCTGCTCCATAAGCAAGTCTCTTCATGCACACATTAGCACTAAAGTAAGCTAAGTCAGTCACCTATTAAAAATCATGTAGTTAGTGTGGGACGATGTGTATGCAAACTCTTTGCTTGTAAGGGAGGATGCATGAACCCTGTGCTTAAACAGAATTTAATCATTAGCACTTCACTTTGAGTCCTGTTTGTATTAACAGGACTAGAAGGTGATTTGTCTGGCTTGTTTTCTTTGTTACTATGAAAAATGACCTGTGTGTCTACATGTGTACCTGCTTTGCAGAGTCCCTTTCTAATGCTTTTGGTTTGTGTTGAACAGGTAACTCATATAACATACCTATTTGTTTGTGGATTATGGATTCACATCCCTTTGCTCCCCCCATTTGCTTCTTGAAGCCAACTGCGAATATGGGGATTTCAGTGGGAAAACACGTTGATGCTCGTGGCAGGATTTATTTGCCCTACCTGCAACGCTGGAGCCATGTAAGGCTGGAGTAGGTCACAGGAAAGGGAAGAATCTGGGAATAATGCATGATATATCCCATCCAGACCAAGGGATGGACTTTTTTCTTCTCTTTGCTTAATTTTTTATTAATATGAAATACATAATGATTACTCAAAGAGAAGCAGAATGATCTGTCCCTTGAAACTGCAGCCTTCAGCTAGTCTAAAGTGATTGTAAGGAAAATTATTTTAATGTGAAGAAAAAGAGGATTGATTTTGTTACAAAACAGTATATACCTCATGTGGTCCCTTCGGTATATTTTCCTTTTGTTGCTGTGAATGATTAATAATACTAGTCAAATTGAGTATTCTGTCTTTTTGACAGGAGTCCCCGATTGGTTAGAATATAAGTTCAAACGTTAATGATGTTACTAAATATTTTATGCACTGTATTAAATGAATTAATTGTGTCTTTTGGCCAAAAGAAGCAATGAATCACCAAAAATCTGAACATTTAAGCTCATCAGATAAGATTGAAGCTATCTTTCATTAGCTGCAGTTTGTCCTCTTTATTATTTTGGATGCTGCTGTGTCAAAGGCTTGTGTTTGTTTATTGATGCTTTCAAAATGTAGTTGCACTAATTTAAGTCCTTGTTGTCTGATGCTTACATTTGAAATGCATCTCTTCAAAAAGTTTAAATGTTATGTAAGTGTTGAATGTCTCTGTGATACGATTAGATTCTGTATAGTTGTTTGCTTTGTGATTCTTTAAGAACTACTGCAGTTTACAGACAATGTAACTGTGTGAAATATCTTGTCAACTGTTTTGTATGTGGTGTTGCTATATTCCAGCCTCAATCAACTGTTATTGGATTAATCAAGGAAATGATTGCAAAATTCGAGGAAGAGCTCCCTTTATATTCGCTGTCCTCATCTGATGCAGCCAGGCAATCCGAACTCCTTTCTTACATTGCGAAGATTACAGAAGGTATGGATATTTTTTCATATATTTATTTGTAATGTTCTTGAACAGTATTTATTGTTACTTTACATGATAAATACAGCCGTGGAACTTTAATGCCTGGACCTTCGGCTTTTGCACGGCCACAGTGTTTAGTATTTTGTTCATGTTAAAAGTGCCTCTTGAGTAAAGGGAATCTGAGTTCTCTATTCAAATACGCAATTCATTTTCAGCATCTGCATCTAAGCTTGCTAAAAATACTGTGGACTTAGTATTGCTTGTTTGCAGGAAATGTTGCAACAAAACTATGAGATTTTGTGGAAGGGAAAAATGACTTTATAATAATACACAAGGTGATTTTGCTCATTCATAAGCATTTTCTCTCATAGATGTCATTCATTTGCAGTCTTATATCCACCGTCACAAGTCCCAAAATTTATCTGGCCACAATCACTCATACACAACTGTGAGGACAAGGGACATGGGGTGTTGAGTCCACGGCATATATGTTAGGTGGTTCTAGTTTGGTGGTGACCGACTCGACTGATTCTGGACTTGTCTTTTATACTTTTCAGAAGGGTTTTTTTTGAGGGGGGCGCATCTTTTGTCTTATTATATTATCTCACACGCTCTACTTTAGGGGCAAAAATTATGAAATTCACAGTTCTCATATCTGTGTATGTTATGGTCCAAGTCCTATTTTTCATGATATTGACATTTTCCTTCAAGTTACCATTTTCCTCCTCTTTCCGTTAATGATATCACATATGCTGGTCTGTAGCAATTATTACAAGCCTTGCCCTTTAGCTCTTGTTCTGCTGCTTCTTCCATTCGTTTGTGAGCGCATTTACAAGCACACATGCACACAGTACACGTTTCCATTTACAGTTCATTTGTTCCAATCTCAAAATCTCTGTTAGAAATATTTATGCATTATACTAAGAATTGTTGATAACAGTGGCACTGGATAAACAACTTCAGATCATCGTATTTTAATCCAATTCTGTTTTGCACACCTTTACAAAATTTGAAGTCTTTTACAAGTTTTCTACCCATAATCTGTATCAACAGCAAAGGGATTACTGTTTGTATAGTCTGAATGTGCAGCTCCTTAATACTTTTTGCTTGCACATTCCACCCAGTGAGAAAACATTCCTGTCCAGAGAGGAATATTGGTTCTGCATGGTGGGAGTGATGATGGATTTTCCATGGCTAGCAAGGTTTGCCTGTTATTTTGAAACATAGGTAATGTGGCTTAACTCTGGCTCAGCCATGATCCTTTATGGAGCAGCAATACTTGTATTGATGTTTTATAGTGGACCACGCTGAGGTTTGTGTGTGTGTGTATGTTTTTAATTGTAGGAGAGACTGACACGAAAGCAAAGGGCAAAATTGGTGGAGACAAAGATAGATGTTTTAACAAAATCACTGTGATTGGAGCTGGAGATCTTGGCATGGCCTGTGTACTAGCAATCACAGCAAAGGTATGTGATTATTATGAATATTAAGAGGCCCTATTAATATTAAAGTTTCTAGGTTATTTCTTAGCATCTTCCACCCAGAAGTTAACTTAGCATTTTTAATAGTAATGTTATGGTTTATGTCATTTACTTCTTTCCTTTGGTTAACTGAGAGGAACGCGGAGCAGAAGTGTGAGTTTCTGGGTTGTTTCCTCAGTCAGCTTTTTGAATACGTAAGGTTGAATATTGAATTCATTTATATTTTGGGCATGTGCAGTTAAAGGGTTCTTGCCAAAACTGTAGCCTGTTTACATTTGGGATCTGCTAAGCCTCTAGAGGAGGATAGTCTGTAGCCTGTCAGTGACACACTCAAAGACAACAGTAACATCAACATTGATAACTTCCCAGGGTATAGGGTGCTTTGTTACTTAATGCTTTATTTTCCAGTTAAACTGATGAACTGCTTGATTCTTTTTTGTACATTTTGATGGTAATTTTGGTGAGATCTGCCCCTATTGCTTTTTTTAAATGCAGTACAACAGACAGTAATATCTTCTTATCTTCTCTTGCTGTCTCACCCTACCACCACCTTGAACAAATTTTGCTTTATTTAATTGTTGATCTGCATTATTCATACAGGGTGCTGCAGACAGGGTGGTTCTTTTGGATCTTTCTGAAGGTGCAACAAAAGGAGGAACCATGGACTTGGAGATATTTTCTCTGCCAAATGTAGAGATTAGCAAAGGTACCAGTTCTTGTTAGAAACAAAACTAGTACGGTTTTGTCTGTGCTTGTGCTCCTTTTAATGAGGACAGGACATCAAGAGAGAGACTTTGGCATATAGCCATATTTTTAAAAAGATGCTATTATGTTTTGATAGCTTCTCATTTTTCTTCAGCTTTCCAGGGCAAAATTTGGAAAGGAGGGTTCAGTGAAGCTTGCATTCCTTCTATTTCAGGCTTTCTTCATTCTGTTCATTGAGGTGTGAGAGCCTTACTTCTAGGGTAGGAAGCCAATTCTGAAAGTAGACACATACAAATGCAGAGAATGAGATGCTGAGCTAGTACTTCAGTGTTGCAGCTGCAAAAAGAAAAGGGAAAAAAACACAAATAGATATTAGGGAATTACAGATAGCTGTGACAATACTGTTTAAAAGACTGATAAATAAGGCCAAATTCATGCTTCAGAACATCACTTTCTTAGACTGACTTTGATTAAACATGCACATTGCCAATGAAATTGGAAAACTTACATTTCAAAAATCATCTTTTCCAGTCTTTGGTCTGTAACCTTAGGTAAATTGTGTTCTGCCTTCTCCAATTCCTGACTGTGAAATGGGGAAGGTTGTTCTGTGGGAGAACTATTTTTGACAAGTGCGGTGGAAGTGCCCAAAATTTTGAGGCGGGGGGTAAAGGGGAAGTGGCCTGGCAGAGGAGAAGGATTCCTAAACTGATTGCAGCAGTTTATCATTTAGACTTATTCTTTGATTTGAATCCATTTTTTCTGTTATTTGATACAATTACATGTTTGTTTTTTTGACCTTTGCAGATTTTTCTACTTCAGCTAATTCAAAAGTTGTCGTACTTACAGTTAACTCTCTGGGTAATGCTCAGACTTACCTTGATGTCATACAAAGCAATGTGGAGCTGTTCAGAGGAATTATCCCAGCAATTTCACACTACAGTCAGAACAGTGTTCTCCTTGTTGCTTCTCATCCTGGTAGGTTGATATTTACATTCACCTGCAATATCTTCAAATTTCTGTCTGGTCTATTTTAAAAACATGTTGTTGCTTAATACATATGACGTAGTCATAAACACTTGCTACTCTAAAGTAAATTTTTCTTTTCAGCCTAGAGCAGGACACTGTCTTTGAGGTTTTTCTTCTTTTCTGTTACCAAGATAGAAAAAAATATATATACTTTGATTGATATAAAAAATACATATATTTGGATATCGAATTTGAAGAGTGACACTTCATTGTCAATCTCTCTCTCACATCTAGTTGAAATAATGACGTATGTGTCATGGAAGCTGAGCGCATTTCCCAAAAGCAGAGTTGTTGGAATAGGGGGCAATCTGGATACTAAGAGATTTCAGTATATTCTTGCAAACCTTTTGAAAACTGAGGTGCTTGGAAAAGATGCTTGGATTGTGGGTGAACAAGGGGAAGAAAAAGGTAAGCGATAAGGTATTATGAGTACTTAATGGCCTGATCATACCCTTTACTGAGTAAATAAAGGAATAACTGATAAAGTAATATAGGTAGCATTAGCAGGGTGCTAGATTTTTCCACAATAATAATTTTAAATAAGATTTTGATGTGTGCCCAAGTTTTTAATGCTAAAGTGACAGAACAAATATTTGGCATAATCATAATGTAAGACTATATGAAATACAGACTTAAATGCTTTTAATTTGTTATTACAGCAAAGATTAGAGGTGCTGAAAAAGGAAGGTAAAATACATGCTAGATAACTACTAATTTAATATTTTTTACATTGCCTTTTTTTTTTTTTTTTTGAAAATGAGTGTCTCTGGCCAGGTACTCTAGAGATCATTTTGGCAATCCAGAGAAGGTTGCCAATAAAATTTGGGTTGTTGTGGGGAAGACATAAGGCTGTGCATTTTAATGTCCTCTGATAACCATTGTAGCCACTGTCCAGTCACTAAATGCACATTTAAATGTTATTTATTTCTGTCTAGTGCCTTCATGGACCAATTGTAATTTGGTTGCCCACCAAATTGAAACAGCAGCTGCATGTAACTCAAGGGAAAAGGTGGCTAACAGGTAACATGGTTGTAATTTTTTTGTTGTTGTTTTTCATACTTAGACTCTTTGGAGTCATAGGCTCTTTTCAGACTAAAGAGTTTCACGTATCTTCAGGTCTGAGTGTTTTTCACTTTTCTATGTTTGTGTATATTAATACCTCTGATTTTCTGGTAGTAATGCCGTGCCTGTGATGATTTGAGGACAAGCTATATTTTTTAAAATAAAAATGTCCTATTAGAGCAGCTTACATAATTATAAAAAAGTAGACAAGCCTTCTGGCACATTAGTTCTTTTTCTCATAGCTATTGCAGAAGCAATTTACCTCAAAAGGAAATACAAGTTTGGATCAATCTGATTAAATTAGCCACATATCAGTTATACTTCTTGATAGAAAGGGGAGCTGTTATTACTACAGGTAGAAGATGGCTAAAATTCTCTAAAGCAATTCTCATCTCTTGTTTTCCCAAACAGCAAATCATGGTTATATGGTACAAATGGTACGCCTAGCTATCTTTACTGTTTTACATATAAAACAAAAGAATAATATGTCACATAAATAAAATCTCAACATTATTTTTTCCCCTCATTTCCTTATTTATATAGAGCTTTGGAAGTTCTAAAGGGAAAAGGGCAGAGATCTTGGTCTGTTGGCCTCTCGGTTGCTGATTTGACTGACAGTATACTGAAAGATAAAAGAAAGGTTCATTCTGTATCCACCCTAGCAAAGGTAAATGTTATTAATATCTCAGTTGACACTATAATGATGATATTACTGCATAGTCCATTAATTTTAACATCATAGACATTTCTACTTATAGCAACTGTTCTGAAGTAGCACTATTTTCATTACTTTCTTCTGACTGCTTTCAGCTCCAATCCACAAACATGCAAAAAACAATTGTTATGTTAATCTGAAATCATTACTAAAAGTTTTCAAAAAAATACAAGAGCTCGGAGGGAAAAACATTCAGGGTTGCAGACCAGTTGCCCTCTGTTCAAGACTGCTGACCAGCTCCTCTGTAAGCCAGAACTGAGAGAAAAAAAAAAAAAAAAAAGTACTCAGTGTGTGTCACAATTTTCAAGTACTCAGTGTTGAACGTGGATTTTTCCAGAGGGACAAAATCAGTTATGAAAATTTAAAATTTGTTTTCTGTCACTTTTTATTTGAACAACTCTGGAACAGTTGCTTTTGCTACCCCTTGATTACCTACTCTGGGAAGAAGAGCTAGGACGTATTTAAGCTAAAATCATAAACTGGGCCTTGCTGGAAGTTTTATCCTAAAAGGCTTGCTTAAAACATGGAGTCATTTCACACGATAAACAGCATGTAGAAACTTTTCATGGATCACTTCTATATACAAACTTACAGTGCTCAGTACATGGAAGTTGAACAGAAAGCTACTTAGCAAATACAGATAAACATGGCTAATTTCATATTATTTTTAAGTAAAGTTTTTAACTTTTTATGAAATAAAGATGGAGGGAAATGACAAGTCTTCAGCACTAACAGAAGCAGTGATTTTTGTGTACTAACAAGAGAGTGTTTCTGCTTGTTCTACTTAAGAAACTGGTTAAACTGTGTTTTGTAGTATGTTTTGTTTGCATTGTTGAAGTCTGATGTATTCATAATAGAAAACTCTTTTAAGAGTGGCATGGTTCAAGATTTTTAGTAATATTTTGCAGTAACTAACCAGTAATCCATAGCACAGGTTCTCAAATAGTTGAAGTCTAAGCTATGCTAAGACAAAACATGCCATGTGATGAAATGGCTTTGCTTAATTGAAATTACCAATTTACTATAATTCCATACCTCAAATTAAAGGCAAAGCAGGAATAACAAATGACAGGGTTGTTCTGTCTTGTTTCAGGGATGCTATAATATAAACAGTGAAGTATTTTTAAGTCTGCCTTGTATTCTGGGAACTGATGGAGTAATTGAAATGATGAAACTAGAGGAAGATCCCGTAATGCTAGAGAAACTGCAGAGCAGCGCAGCATCAATTCATGACCTTCAGCAACAACTGAAACTGTAAGCACACGGGAGGTTATGGTGCCTCTCAGAAGTTTGGAGGTTCGCTATGCAGAAAGTGTTGCCAAGTGTGTGTGGATTTCTCTGTAAATCAAGAACTTCATAATTTACTTTCAAATTTCCTTTTCTTAAAGATTTGGTTAAATCATGTATTACAGGCTGCACTGCACAGCAGAAAATTCCTTAAAAGTGAAGTTCTTGGTAGCCAAAATGAGGAGAGTAATGTGCAAGAATGTTTTACCTACATTTGGGTGACTCTTGTCTGCACAGTTATTGTTGCTAATTATGGCCTCGTTCGTGGGTTATTATTAGCTGTTTGCACCTCATTTGGACTCAGATACTAGGCCAGCAGCTTGCCCAGCTTTTAGAAACCTTACTGTGCAGAGGCAGCTAGAGCTCTGCCTTCTTTTTAAAGCTCTGCCTAAGGGGCTTGCCTAGAAATACGATCACACTCCAGCTCCCCAGGCGCTTGAGCTCTCATGCCCGTTATAGGCACTCTGATGCCAGTGACTTCCCTTCTTGCATATCAGTGGGAAAAAGAAAGAAAAAAGCTTGAGTTAACATCTTTCAAACTTGAAGTATTGCATATGAATTTCTGCCATGTTTAATGATGATGTATGGGATTTTCTGGCATGACTTTTTCACTCTTATTCTGTGAGCACTTCCAAAGTATTAAAGCACACCTGTATTTGGGGTTATATAGATGTAGTACTTGCACCCCCTGCAGCATTGGTGAAGGGCTTTTCCTCATGGGGAGGAGCTGGGATCAGGAATGGAATAAAGAAGAACATTTGATGGTTGGGAACTGCAGAAATATCTGCAGCTCGGGCTGATCCGAAGCAGGTTCATGTCAGTAAGCCCTGTATCAGACTGAGGGGCTTACGGGGAAGGCAACAGATTCTACAGCCCTTCGCCAGGAGACAAAAAAGCAGCATGTGAGGCTTTAGGTAAATCTGAAAGCGTATGGTGTGAAGTTAAAGGGTCCTTTCTGTTTTAAACTATCTTGATCATTGCACTGGTATAAAAAAAGATTGTATTTGACCTTCTTAGACCTCAGCATCAAATTGCAGGCTACAAACCGCAGCAGAATTGTGGATGTTTAAGAACATCATGCTATAGTTAAGCTTTGAGGTCAAATTGTTTAATTATTCATGGGGCTTTTTAAGCAGAAGTAGGACTTGCATAATTGGTAAAGACTCGTTCCCTTGTGCCTTGTATCTGTATCTTGCAAAGTCAAGCTTGGAAGTTTCCAACGCTGGTTTTGTATTGGTCTCTCAAAGTCTTTTTTAATTTTTTAATTTTTTTTCCTGATGTTTTTAAATTTCCTTCTTGGTATTCAGTGCTGGGACAGAATTACTGATGGTTACAGAGATCAACGTAGCCATTATATTTGGAGAAAAAAAAAAGGGCAAGCCAAAAACACTATGGCTGGACTCTTGGACTCTTTGTTTTTTCATTATTTTAAAAATACACTTGAATTACCATTTGCAACTTGGTTCCTTGGGGTGCTGTGTCTTAGTTTAGGGAGCATTATCTTAATGGAAATAGTCTAGGTGTTTTTTCTTTTATCTCCGCCTTCAAATTGTTAAAAGCCGGTGGCTCTTTTCGGGACTGATGATGCTTGTATCTTAAATAGCAAATGTATGTTATTCTGGAAGAAAAAAATATTTTTAAAGGAAAAAATACACAAATAACCAAAGGATTGTCATGGCAAAAATAATTATTTAAAAAAGAAGAAACAAACGCAAAAGTCCTTTCTAAAGTGAGGCTGCCTTCCATGCTGGGCGCCGCCATGACACTTCCTGGCACTGCGCCCCTCCTCCGCGCGGAAGTGGCGTCAGGGCCGGGC